TTTTATTACAAGCTTTGTATCTGCAAGTTGCACCTTATATCGGGCCTAAATGCCATAGTCTCCGCCACGTCTACTAAGCTATACAACGTGGGCCTGAATTAGCAAGTTTGAGTGGCCCTAATTACCAAAGACGACAGCATTAGCACTCAACTTCCAATAAGTCGCCACGAGGATTATTGTATACTCACGTTTTGTCCCACATCCAAGGCTGAAGCACCCTCGAGAGGAGAGCTGACTATTTAGACGCCATTGACTATTTAGACGCTAGGGCGACGTAAAAACTTACTTACCTTTTTTTTACTTAGCTAAACGGGTCAATAAGAGATCAAGAAGTCTCATGGCCTAGATCAATGGCCTACATTGCACGTTGTAGGAGCACTGGTTTACCATCTGCCTACCGGTAGAGTGGACGTTTATTGTAGAGAGGTTATGTGTTTGGCGTGGCCCCTACCAATTCTTGAATTAAAAACAAATGCACTAATAATGATTGTAAACACTTCAAATCGAACTACTCCCCCCGTTTCTTTCTTACTTCACATACAAAATTTGTCTTAAGTCAAATTTCATAAAATTTGACCAAATTTACATACAAAATTATCAACATCTACAATACTAGATATGTACAATTCAATGATACATCTAATGGTATCGATTTTATATTGTGAATGTTGATATTTTTCTATAATCTTAATCAAACTTTACTAAGTTTGACTTAAGACAAATCTTATATGCGGACTAAAAAGAAATAGAGGGAGTACTGCCCATGAATTGATTCTAATTCTATCAATAACTTTAGGAGTAACTCTAGGACGTATGGATTGCCATTTCCAAGGAATATACATAATCCAGTGCTCAACAATGGCCAAGGTTTCCTTTTCTTAGACCTCATGAGTGGTGACCAATAGCCGTGTGCACACAAAGTCATGAGTTAGCATCCAGTACTCTGAGAAGAAAAAAGGTAGCATCCGGTAATCAGATTACAGGTTCAGAAAAAGCCATCTCAATGGATGCTGGATACAGCAAATGAACAACATCTGAAAGTAACTACCAGATCCACACTCAATCTCCTTTCCAACTAGTCTCACTGAAGCTAGTACAAAACACTACTACTTGGAACAGGATTGTAGCATATACACCACTAAAACACCACCTGCCACTAGAACAGATGCCACATTACCACTACTACAAAACTAGGAACAGGTTTCTTGCATACACCAATAGAACAAATGCCACAGTACCACTACACCAACATATAATACACAGATTAAATGAGTTAAAGATGGTCTCATGTCACCACTCACAACAGAAACAGGACCAAGCAACACGAACTTCCATACTACACGAGCCAACACAGAGATTGACTCCTGGGGGGCTTACACCGGCTCTATGAGGTTCTAAAACTGCTTCGCTGGCCTCTGCCGCAAATCCCTCCTTAACTGGAAATGCCATTACAGAAACCTTCAGGTTCCTCTGAAGCGCAGCAGAGACCACATGTCGTGTGAGCGTGATCACACCATTAGCGTCAACAGGCAACCCACCATCTTCAAAGTCAAGTAACTTGACTTGCAGGGTGTCATCCCTACTGGAGGCAGCACTAAATACACCCCGAAAGCCATCCGGCCACGACCCGCCAATGATTCTTATAAAGACCGTGGCCTCCACCGAGTGATAAATGTGATCAAAATTAATTTCCAGCGTGCTAAGCCTGCTAGGGAAGACACTTTGAGGACAGGCTCCAGCTCTAAACACCACAACAAGAGCACTTAAATCTTTATCCTCAGATTCAGTAGCGCCCTTCACTTTGAGCGATACCTCAAGGTATGTAGGATCATATGACACGACAATGGCACGGGTCGGACCTGACAGTGCTAGGTAGCAATCCTGCATGCGCATGCGTAGAATAACAGTTAACTAAATGATAATGTTCATTTCATCAGATGTTAAAGACAAAACCAAGAGAGGAGTTAAATACGAACATCCTGGGTGATGGTTTGGCAGTCAGTCCTCGGCCGGTGGAAAATAATATTGCGCTTACGATCCAAGTAATCACGCGCGGCAACGATACCAAACACCTGCAGTGGCCAGTGCAAGCCCCCGTTGATTGCTGCAACTTTGACTGACATAATCTGCAGAGTGTCCATGGCCTTGGCCGAGCAATCCGAAGCAGGATTCACATGACGCATGGAAGGGATAGATGCTGCATAGATTGACCACATCACATGTAAATAAAGCAGGTAATTAGTTAGCTACAGGAGATAAATTCAGATCCATTGATGTATATGCTGCAACTTATCTTATCAAATTGAGTGACAAGCAGAACATACGAGGACGTTCGTGAGCAAGGATCAAGGAAAGTGATTGAGCGGGGAGGGGGCTTACTGGTTTGGTCGAAGGTAACACCACAGGGAGCTAGGTATCTTCTCCACATAGAGCGAAACTTGGCAGCGAGCCATTCTTCCTCGCATTGTGTCGGTGCAGTCTCCTCCTCGTCATCTCCAACTTCATCTTTCGCCGCAGCAGCTTCCTCGGCCGATTTTTTAGCCATGGACTCGGCAATAAGCCTGGCCCTTTCTTCAGGCGTCATGTTTCTTATCATCTCGTCCCCTTCAGCCATCATCTTTGCTATCCTCGCAGCCGTCACCTTGGCTGGTTTTTGAGGCTTGGCCTTGGGTTTCTTCGTCGCCGCCATCGGCTTCGCTCTCTCGATCGGCCTCAGCGGCTTCTTCTCCAGCCACGCCTCGTTCAACAATCCGATTCCTCTGATTTCGTTTTGTCGCCTGAATCTGAATCTCAAATTTCTCCAGAGCACCGTGGGCACGGTCGGTCGGTCGATCGATCGCAGTCGCCGCCGCCGCTCTCCGTGGGTTATAAAAAGGAGAAAACCGTAGAGAGATCGAGGGTTCGTGCTGGCCAGCGTATTAATTGGAGCGCGATCGGCTCAAGAAACTGCCTCCGATTCAAATTCGGCGTCGATGTCGGAGAGCTCGCTCTCAGCGCCGGTTTAGGCATTTTTTTTTTCTGAGCGAACGCCGGTTTAGGCTTCTGGCGCTCCAAGGAGACGCCTAGCGGGCCGGGCCAAGCAATTCTTGGATCGGGAACATGACGCTCGAAGGAATTCAAATTGGTCGATATTCTTTACCCTAAAAAAACTGGTCGATATTCTTTTTCTAAAAGAAAAAACTGGTCGATTTCTAAAGAAAAAAAAACTGATGGATCCTCTGCTCAAAAGGAAAAACAAAACTGATCGATCGAAGTCACCTAAAAAAGCCCTGAATGATCAAACTTGCCTCCTTGAAAAAAGATCTGCTCAATCCACCAATCGTTTCTCTAATGTCCGCGGCGTTCTATGTCTCTGCCACGCGTCTTTATGGCAGCGCACCACATCTCTTCTTTCATCCTTATTATCTTCACTAAAACGCTAGCCACATATATTTTTGTAACTGGACTCATATTTCAAAAGGCACACTGAAACCAACGGTTTGTTGCCCACCCACCAGGAGAGAACCGTGAGGGAGGGCAACGACAACGACACAACCTCCATCATCGGTGGCCTCCCAGACCACGGTGGGGTGACAAGGGCGGCCGACCCGAGTTGTCGCCGTCGAAGCCACCCAGGTAGTGCTGACAGGAAGAGCCATGTCTAGCGAGCCCAGGAGAGGCTGGGACCACGACACAACAAGTCCATGGAGAACGATGCGTGTCCTCCTAGCCGCCTTCGCGGCGGCGTTATCCCGGCCGGAGGTCCTCGTCGCCGGCGGCAAAGCCGGTGCAAGACCAGCGTCAAGGCACGGTCGGGTCGGCTTCGCGCAACGAAAGACGCCCGCGCCCACTAGGCTGTGCGTTCGCACGCCGACAAGTTTCTGCAACAACGCCGAAGTTGCAAAACGGCGACACCACGACAGTGCTGCTGCGACATCCTTTTCATTGCAAGAAAAACCTGCAACATCATTCATGTTGCAAAAGTTCTTTCCGCAACATCAACTCTGTTGCAAAAAGGTGAAGCTGAAGAAAAAAAATCTATAACACAACTTCTGTTACAGATGTTTCTGCAATATATGAGCTCGGTTGAAAGGAGTTGGGTCGTTGGATAACGCCAGATCTAATGGCTGTCGGGGGAGATATGCAATTCTCTTCTTAATTAATGGATGAAAGTGATAGTTTTATCTAGAAAATACTTATCGTTATCTTATGGAATTCTTTTACACAATAGTAAGGGGGCTGCTACGCGTCCACCGGCTGATCTTTTTAAAAGATCGGTCGGGTCGCGCACCGTCAGATCCTATGTCCATCGAGGGCCGAGTGGCGTTCTTCATCTTTGCAACACAGGTAATGTTGCGGAAACATTTGCATCAAAGGTCGTGCCGCAAAAATCTTTGCAACAAAGGTCATGTTGCAGAAAACTTTTGCTACATAGGTCAGGTTGCGGAATTTTTTCTTCGTCTTTCTGCAACATAGGTACTGTTGCGAAAGAAACTTTTGCAACAAAGGTCATGTTGCAGAAAACTTTTACAACATAGGTTAGCTTGCAGATTTTTTTTCTTCTTCGTCTTCTTGCAACATAGGGACTGTCGCGGAAGAAACTTTTGCAACAGAGGTCATGTTGCAGAAAACTTTTACAACATTTTTTTTCTTTTGTGCATCATTTTTGCAACATAGTTGATGTTGTTGAATTTTTTGCAACGAAGATGATGCTGCATAAACGCCGCCCACCCTTGCTGACGCATGTCGCAGCATCGTCGCCGTCGCATTGGCCAGTGATGGTTGGAAACTGCATGGAGGAGGTCGGTCGGACTGTGACAAGCTCGGGCGCTCCACTGCAGCCCTGTCGCTGCCGGTGGTCGTAGTGGACGCGTCCGACGGCCAGGGGAGGTGTCCACGCATGACCACGCATAAAGAGATGACGGGGGGAGATGAGTGAGAAAAGGGAATCTGGATGGGATAAGGAAGGATCAACTCAACTGAGCGATGCAAGAAAGAGTAGAGCGGTGCAGCGGCCCATAGAGGACACGCGTCACGTGCTAGTGGTGGCGGACGCCCCTGGGCTGAATCGGCCGGCTGATCATAATCATTTCCCTTTCTTCAGGCGTCAGCTTTCTTGTCATCGCAGCCCCTTCAGCCATCCCCATCTCAGGCGTTACCACGGCTGGTCTTTGAGGCCTCGCATTGGGTTTCTTCCTAGCCGCCATCAACTCTATCGAAGACTCCCCTTGGTCGATCGGTCTCCGTCGCCGCCGCTCTTTGAGGGAACGCAATCGAAGCAAGCAGCCGTTCCCGATTCGAACTCAAGCACCGACCGATGCACGTATAAGCTGCAGCTTATTGGGCCTGGATTACTACTAATAGACACGGTGGGCCTGAGTTAGCAGGTTTGTGGCCCTTCTTGTACCTTTGCTAAAAGAAAAACCAGGATTCTTGTACGGACGTTTAGTCCCACATCGGGGACTTGAGCATCATCGGGAGCTACAGCCGACTATTTAGACACCACCAAGGGCTCCCTTGAAACTCACTTACCTGGACGGGGTCGATGAGAGATCAAGAAGTCTCATGGCCTAGATCAGTGGCCTACATAGCACCTTGTGGGCGCACTGGTTTACCATCTCCCTCCGGGAGAGTGGACGTCGTAATTTGTTACAGAGGGGGTACGCGTTCGCGCGGCCCCTACCAACACTTACACTGAAAAATTACCTGTTATTCAAAGATTTCAAGCAGAAATATCAAACTATTCAGTATCAACAAAGATGATGCAACAACAGATGAGCACACATAATTCAGTTCACCCAGTTTAGGACACACTAACTGCGATCTCCTTCTCTTAGACCTCACGAGTGGTGGCCGATAGCCGTGCGGAAGACTAAGTTATGTCCTGCCTGGTTAGACCATATGCTCATAGCATCAGTAACGAGATAAATTCAGGGACATCGTGTTATCTCACTGTGAGTTATTCGTAGGGCGCTTTGACCAAACTTTTGATGCCCACATGAAAAGGCTGGTGATGCCAGAGGCTGCTCCAAATCCTGACCGGATGTCCGCAATCAACTCACGGACTTCTCTCACAGTAGTAGCCACCAATGGCTCACCTACTGCTTTGTTCCGGTTAGCCACCCCCTGAGCGGTTCCTAAAAAACGGAACAAATGCTAAGGCAAAAAACCTTGGGCATGGTTCTTAAGCCATGTTAGAAGTTTTTTTTTGCTGGGTAAGCCATGTACTCCCTCCATTCCTAAATACAAGTCTTTGTAGAGATTTCACTAGGTGGACTACATACGGAGCAAAATGAATGAATCTACACTTAAAATGCATCTATATACATCCGTATGTGGTTCATAGTGAAATCTCTACAAAGACTTATATTTAGGAACGGATGGAGTAGAAGTTAATGCCACCAGAGCAGAGATCACCTTGTTGGGCTGAGGTTGCCAGCTGGCGAAGTTGAGCGTCAGCTGTATGAACAATGCTCAAGGAACTCCTCACAACCTTCGTCAATTCTTGACTGATCTAGGGAATGGTTATATTGTTAGTTATCCAGAAATTATCCCCTATTAAGGAATTTGAGCTCTTTTACACAACACACTGTAATACTGCAAAAGTTGCCAACATGTGTGGACACAAAGTCACGATCTAGTACTCTTGAGAAGAAAAAAAGGCAGCATCCAGTAATCAGAATACAATCTCAGAAAAGAGTTATGTCTGTGGATGGCAGATACAGCAAGTGAACAATATCTGGAATTAACTACCATAGCCAAAAGTAATTACACATCCAGGTCACTTCGAGTCAATGCAGTTTCATATATGCAAATCAGCCGATCATCTAATAATATATATAAAAGAAAAGATTCACTTCGAGTTAATGCAGTTTCATATATGCAAATCAGCCGATCATCTAATAATATATATAAAAGAAAAGATTAAAGGAAACAGGTGTGAGAAGTGTTTAGTTACTTGCCTTAGGTCACTGAGATCAACACTCAAGGCACCGATCTCTTTTGCAACTAGTCTCACTGAAGCCATACTTTCAGGAAGCTTCTCTCTTGTGAGGTCAAATGACTTTTCAAGAGACTCTGCTGCCCTCTTACAGTCCTGAAAATGTTTAGCATATCAATATCCATAGTTGCTACATGTTTCATTTAGAAGTTTTAAGTTTTACCGAATGGACCAACCTACCAACATGGAGGGAATCGCCGAAAAGAATATGAAGCTGGCAGATATTGCAACCTACATAAGATAGTAACTGTGATCAACAGAGACAGTAGGCTCCCGACGCTGACAAGCGCAAATTAAAGATGGGAGCCAAATTATCCAGAATAAACCTGACAAGATATGGTTCTATATAAGAAGTATTCTTCACAAGAGAAACTGCGACTTTCACTTGGATGAACCATGCTCGTGCAGTTTTCCCATCACTATCTTTTTTACCAACATATACGTTTGCAATGATTTTTTCTTATCAGAACTATTTAATTGACAAAAGCACTTTCGCTTGTATGGGAAGTGCTCCTGCATCCAAACTAAGTACCTGCGCACCTAGAAAGAAACTCAAAATATGCATACATATTATTTATGGACTGGGTCAGTGACTGAATTTTCTGCAACTTAACTTGCGGCGTGCTATTTTCAGATTGGAAAATGGAGAGCATTTGGCTTCCGTTTTTCCCCCGCAGGAGGACTGCTGACTTCCTTGATATGTCAATTAATAAACAATCTAAAGTCATGAATATTTGTACTACAAGTATCCATTGTAATCAGGGTACAAAACTTCAGCCTATATCTGTCATAAGCCAATCCTAACGTACGTGCAGCACGTAGATGCATTCCAAACATGCTTTCAGTTTCGAGTAAGTTTTCCACCCTGAACATTGCTTTAAAAGAGACCCGTTGGGCACACAAAAATATAAGTTGGTTAGGAATCTGAATCTGCTATGCCTGCATTATTTCAGTGCAGTGACACTAGTCTACCACGCGTTAGTTAGCAAAAATCATCTGAGCGAGCGGTTTTGGATAAAGCTCTGGATTAAGAGCTTGATACGAGCTTTAAAATGAGGAGCACGGGGCAGGGGGCCGTACCGCGGAAGCAGCGACGGAGAGGAGGAGGAGGAGGCCGCCGCCGTCTGGGGGTCGGACAGAGGCGGGCGGGGAGGGAGCGGCCACGGAGGCGAGGCGCAGGCTCGAAGCATCCGGGGACTCAGCCGACTGATACTTCGTGGCAGCTCTGCATCTGCTGGACCCGAGCAGGAGACGGCCGCGCGGGCGGAGGAGGCAGGCGGAGGTGGTCGGGAGCTTGGGGTTGGGGGCTTCGGCGTGGCGAGGAAGAGGAAGGGACAACATCTGGTAGTCGCGAGTTCGAGTGATGGAAACGGAAGAATGTCTATGTCTAATGCCAAAACGGAGGCCGAGCTCATAAGAAGTACTCCCCCTTAAAGAAATATAAAAGTGTTTAGACACTATGGAGTATGTGTGTACATTTTCATTATGAAATATGTTAAAATGAGGACTTCAAAGAAATAAATATGTGGCTTTTCAGCACATGCATTGTTCACTCTATAAAAATCCATGATTTTTGTATGCGGCTCACAATTCAAGGTATTTCACTGTGAAATTTTACACACATATACACTACATCCTTGTTGTGTGTATATTTGTTTTTAGAATTTTTAAAACTAAAATGTTTGTATTTTGAATGTTTTAAAATTTCAGTCTCTATGGAGCTTGGCCTTCAAATCGCCCTCATGGCACCACAAAGATTTTTAGATCATGGATATTCCATAGCAACGGGATAGCTCAGTCAACAGGCACTTTAATGTTAAGACTTAAGACACATCATCACGCAAAGCTAGCCCTTAAAATTCAGAAGGGGCCTTTAGCTGTTAGATGCCTTTCTTCATATGTAGGTCTTTGTCTTGGTAGGGATGTTCTCTCCAGGTCAAGTATGAGTCCATTCACACTCCTCTCTGTAAAATGTTCTATGTAAAATGTTGCCAAGTGAATAAAAATATTTTTATGTTTAAAAAATAAATAAATTAATAAAGGTAAGGCGATTCAGAGCCACAAGGATTCTTGTACTCCCGTTATGTCTCATATCGAAGGCTCAAGCACCCTCGAGAGGAGAGCTTACTATTTAGACGCCAGGCAGGGTGGCCTAGAAACTTACTTACCGACGGGGTCAAGAAGAGATCAAGAAAGTCTCATGGCCTATGATACGTCTCCAATGTATCTATAATTTGATTGTTCCATGTTATTATATTATCTGTTTTGGATGTTTAATGGGCTTTATTATGCACTTTTATCTTATTTTTGGGACTAACCTATTAACCGAAGACCCAGTGCAAATTGCTGTTTTTTTTGCTTGTTTCAGTGTTTCGCAGAAAAAGAATATTAAACGGAATCCAAACGAAATGAAACCTTCGTGAGGATCTTTTTTGAAACAAACGCAATCTAGGAGACTTGGAGTGGACGTCAAGGAAGCAGCGAGACGGCCATGAGGTAGGGCGGCGCGCCCCCCACCCTCGTGGGCCCCTCGCAGCTCCATCGACCTACTTCTTTCGCCTATATATACTCCTATACCCTGAAAACATCCAGGGGAGCCAAGAAACCACTTTTCCACCGCCGCAACCTTTTATACCCGTGAGATCCCTTCCGGGGACCTTTTCTGGCGATCTGTCGAAGGGGGATTCGATCACGGAGGGCTTCTACATCAACACCATAGCCTCTCCGATGATGTGTGAGTAGTTTACCACAGACCTTCGGGTCCATAGTTATTAGCTAGATGGTTTCTTCTCTCTCTTTGGATCTTAATACAAAGTTCTCCTCGATGTTCTTGGAGACCTATTCGATGTAATTCTTTTTGCGGTGTGTTTGCCGAGATCTGATGAATTGTGGGTTTATGATTAAGATTATCTATGAACAATATTTGATTCTTCTCTGAATTCTTACATGCATGATTTGATATCTTTCCAAGTCTCTTCGAATTATCAGTTTGGTTTGGCCTACTAGATTGATCTTTCTTGCAATAGGAGAAATGCTTAGCTTTAGGTTCAATCTTGTGGTGCTCGATCCCAGTGATAGAAAGGGAACCGACACGTATTGTATTGTTGCCATCGAGGATAAAAAGACAGGGTTTATATCATATTGCTTGAGTTTATCCCTCTACATCATGTCATCTTGCCTAATGCGTTACTCTGTTCTTATGAACTTAATACTCTAGATGCATGCTGGATAGCGGTCGATGTGTGGAGTAATAGTAGTAGATGCAGAATCATTTCAGTGTACTTGACACGGACGTGATGCCTATATTCATAATCATGCCTAGATATCATCATAACTATGCGCTTTTCTATCAATTGCTCGGCAGTAATTTGTTCACCCACCGTAATATATGCTATCTTAAGAGAAGACACTAGTGAAACCTATGGCCCCCGGGTCTACTTTACATCATATAAGTTTCCGATCTACAACTCTAGTTTACTATTTATTTTTCAATCTTTACTTTTCAATCTATACAACAAAAATTCCCAAAATATTTATCTTATTATCTCTATCAGATCTCACTTTCGTAAGTGACCATGAAGGGATTGCCAACCCCTTTATTGCGTTGGTTGCGAGGTTCTTGTTTGTTTGTGCAGGTACTAGGATGACTTGCGTGTAGTCTCCTACTGGATTGATACATTGGTTCTCAAAAACTAAGGGAAATACTTACGCTACTTTGCTGCATCACCCTTTCCTCTTCAAGGGAAAACCGACGCATGCTCAAGAGGTAGCAAGAAGGATTTCTGGCACCGTTGCCGGGGACATCTACGCCAAGTTAAGATACCAAGTACCCATCACAAACTCTTATCCCTCGCATTATATTATTTGCCATTTTCCACTCGTTTTCCTCTCCCCCACTTCACCCTTGCCGTTTTATTCGCCTCTTTTCTGTTCGCCCTTTTTTCGTTCGCCTTCTTTCGCTTGCCTCTTGTGTGACTGTTTGTTGGATTGATTGTTTGTCACGATGGCTCAAGATAATACTAAATTATGTGACTTTTCCAATACCAACAATAATGATTTTATTATCACTCCGATTGCTCCTCTTACCGATGCTGAATCTTGTGAAATTAATACTGCTTTGCTGAATCCTGTCATGAAAGATCAATTTATTGGCCTTCCTAGTGAAGATGCCGCTACCCATCTAAACAGCTTTGTTGATTTATGTGATATGCAAAAGAAGAAAGATGTGGATAATGATATTGTTAAATTGAAGTTATTTCCGTTTTCGCTTAGAGATCATGCTAAAACTTGGTTCTCTTCTTTGCCTAAAAATAGTATTGATTCATGGAATAACTGCAAAGATGCTTTTATCTCTAAGTATTTTCCTCCCGCTAATATCATCTCTCTTAGAAATGATATTATGATCTTTAAGCAACTTGATCATGAGCATTTTGCACAAGCTTGGGAGAGGATGAAATTAATGATATGTAATTGCCCTACACATGATTTGAATTTATGGATGATTATACATAATTTTTATGCTAGATTGAATTTTTCTTCTAGAAATATTTTAGATTCGGCCGCGGGAGGCGCTTTTATGGAAATCACTTTAGGAGAAGCTACTAAACTCCTATATAATATTATGGTTAATTATTCTCAATGGCACACCGAAAGATCTACTAATAAAAAGTTCATGCGATTGAAGAGATTAATGTTTTGAGTGGAAAGATGGATGAACTTATAAAATTGATTGCTAATAAGTGTGCTTCTTCTGATCCTAATGATATGTCTTTGTCCACTTTGATTTAGAATAATAATAAATCTATAGATGTGAATTTTGTTGGTAGGAACAATTTTGCTAACAACGCATATAGACGAAATTTTAGTTCTAGGCCGTTTCATAGTAATTCCTCTAATAATTATGGTAATTCCTACAACAACTCTTATGGAAATTTTAATAAGATGCCCTCTGATTTTGAGACTAGTGTTAAATAATTTATGAATTCGCAAAAGAATTTCAATGCTTTGCTTGAAGAAAATTGCTTAAGATTGATGAGTTGGCTAGGAACGTGGATAGAATTTCTCTTGATGTTGATTCTTTGAAACTTAGATCTATTCCACCTAAGCATGATATCAATGGTTCTCTCAAAGCCATGAGAATTTCCATTGATGAGTGCAAAGAAAGAACCGCTAGGATGCGTGCTAAAAAAGATTGCTTTGTGAAGGTGTGTTCTTCTAGTTTTCATGATAATAATGATGAAGATCTAAACGTGATTCGTGTGTCTCCTATTAAATCTTTGTTTGCCAATATGAATCTTAATAAAGATGAGACTGGAGATGAGTCAACTTTAGTTAGAAGGTGTGCCAATGATTCGGAATTTTTAGATCTTGATGCAAAAATTGGTAAAAGATTGAAGAGGTCAAAACTTTACATAGCAATGAACCCACCATTTTGGATTTCAAGGAATTTAATTATGATAATTGCTCTTTGATAGATTGTATTTCCTTGTTGCAATCCGTACTAAATTCTCCTCATGCTTATGATCAAAATAAAACTTTTACTAAACATATCATTGATGCTTTAATGCAATCCCATAAAGAAAAGCTTGAAGTAGAAGTTTCTATCCCTAGAAAACTTTATGATGAGTGGGAACCTACTATTAAGATTAAGATTAAATATCATGAATGCTATGCTTTATGTGATTTGGGTGCTAGTGTTTCCATGATTCCAAAAACTTTGTGTGATGTGTTGGGTTTCTGTGAATTTGATGATTGTTCTTTAAATTTGCATCTCACAGATTCCACCATTAAGAAACCTATGGTAAGGATTAGTGATGTTATTATTGTTGCAAATAGGAATTATGTGCCTGTAGATTTCATTGTTCTTGATATAGATTGCAATCCTACATGTCCTATTATTCTTGGTAGACCTTTCCTTTGAACGATTGGTGCAATTATTGACATGAAAGAAGGAAATATTAGATTCCAATTTCCATTAAGGGAAGGCATGGAACACTTTCCTAGAAAGAAATTAAATTACCTTATGAATCTATTATGAGAGCCACATATGGATTGCATACCAAAGATGACAATACCTAGATCTATTCTTGTTTTTTATGCCTAGCTAGGGGTGTTAAACGATAGCGCTTGTTGGGAGGCAACCCAATTTTATTTTTGTTCCTCGTTTTTTGTTCCTATTTAGTAATAAATAAATCATCTATATTCTGTTATGATTGTTTTTTATGTTTTAATTAGTGTTTGTGCCAAGTAAAGCCTTTAGGATCTTCTTGGATGATTGTTATTTGATCTTCTTGAAAAAGAACAAAAAATATGTGCTCACGAGAATAATTTTAATTTTTAAC